CGTAGTTGCTGTCGGCGTTTATCTGCCCGCCTTTGCCTGGCGGCTGGAACCAACTCCTTTAGCTCCTCCCCAATGCTCCATGGCCTGACTTCAGGGACCAATTCCCTTTGGCTTTCACCACTTCTCCATGCCTCAGGCACCTCCTGGTGGCCAACCAGCCTCTCTGGTCCCTGCTCGGAGTCGGAACCCTGTCCAAGGTCCTCCACATCTTCCAGAGCCAACTCATAGGGCCCCTTACTATCGGAGTCTGTTTGCAGCTCCAACGGCTCCTGCTGGGCCACAACACTTCTCATACTTCATATAATCCCCCCCGCTCCCGGTTTCCCACAGCACTAAATGTGGCAGGCCTGAAGGCCCAATGCAAAAGATGGCTTCCAGGCCTGACAGTTGTCCTTTCCCCCTTTGAGTCATTAGTGACTACTCTTCCTTTTCTAATAGTCTAAAGAGATCTGCTCCCTGGAAAGTCACTGACCTGGCCAAGTAAGTATGGACTTCCCTGTCCACGTGTAACATTGTCATCCTCTCATTGCCCCCTCCTCTTTTCCCACCAATGGAGAATCCATGCATGTGTTTATGGGCTTGTATGTCTGTTCGTGGCAGGAATCTAAGTGTCTGGTCAGGGATAAGAAGCTAAGCATGGTTGGGTTGGGTTATGAACCTGGAAGGGATGTCTCCAGGGAATTCCAGGGCTGTAAGCTTGATTAGAGAGTTGAAAAACACCTCAGAAGAAGACACAGGCGAACCATTTCTAATCTGGTGACAAGGAAACTGCATGGAGTCTTCCATGAAGTCACCAGGAGTTCAAGGTGAATGCAAAGGAGATGTAACCTTAATAAATAAATAAATAAATAAAGAACTTCAGGAGGCTGAGAACATAATGAAACATATAACAAGCCCTTTTTTTAAAAAAAAAAATCCTGGTTGGAAGCAAAGCCTAGGGAGAAATTAATAAGAAAATTCAGAGGAACAATCACAACCTGTGGAAAAGAAACTGATTTTTTTTCCCCCTCGTCACAATCCTTATTTCTTTAATTTCCCCTTCGTCTCTGCTCTTGGCACACCTTCTCGAGATGGAAGCAGAGTAGAGCCACTTCCATGAAAAATGGACAGTGGCTTTTACTTTGGGTGTTTAGAAAAAAAAACAACCAGGTTCTGCCCAGCGGTGGGTTTCGCATTTTGTTACCACTGGTTCGCCCCTTGCGCACGGCTTCTGTGCATTCGCCCGGCCTCAAAAATGTGCCTAAATAGGATGGGGTAGAATTTCCGCTACTGGTTCGAACCGGCTGAATCCCACCTGGTTTTGCCACAGTAAGCCTGACTAATTTAATTTTTTTTTTCTTTTGCTACCGGAAGCCACATTTTTTTTGTTGTCACATTATTATTTTTAGTTCAAAAAAAACCCCAAAAACTGCCAGGCATATGGTAGTAACATCTCTGAAGAAGGCCCAGCCAGATTTTTATTTTCCTGCTCTGCTTTTTCACTTTTGAGGGGGAGATGTTTTTCAGAGGAAAATAGACATGTTAAGTCTGTTAACATACCTCCCTTAGACCAATAAGATCGCACAGGATGGGCCTTCTCCGGGTGCCTTCAGCGGGACAATGCCGGCTGGTGACGCCTAGGAGTAGGGCCTTCTCTGTTGCCGCTCCGGCCCTATGGAATGAGTTGCCCCCAGAGATCCGGGCCCTGCCCACTCTCATGGCCTTTCGCAAAGCCATTAAAACCTGGCTTTTCCGGCAGGCCTGGGGCTGTTGACCCCTTGATTGAGGTTCAGCCCCCTCCTGATTGGGTGTTTGTTGTGTTCCTTTTTAACTTTGTTGTGTCCCATTGTCTTT